TGGTCACACCAGGGGCGTCGTGAAGGGCTCTTCCTGGAACTGTCGCAGTCATATCGTATCCACTTTGTCCGTCGCACCAGGAGAGGCAACACAGCCTGGGGCAGCTGTGGGAATTGGAATGTCCAAAGAAGCCTGAATGCAGCTAACCTCCACTTGCAGCTCCGGAACTTCCGATGCTGTGAAGATGCGAGACTTTGGAACATCGATTTCTATGTCGATCCCACAGACCCATCCCTGATGATTGATGGCAGCGGACGTGTAATCAGATACCTGGGAAGGCTGGTGATAATGGTGTATGGCCCTGATGTGTCGAGAAGGATGCTGGCCTTGTCGGAAGATGATGAGGAATGGATGCTCCTTTGAGGGGATGGAATGTCGCCGGCCAGTAACCAGGCAAGTGGAAGTGGATTGAATTGCGAGCACAGCCTCGCCACTAAGGGCCATGTGAGGGCAAACCCGAATGCAGGCTTAGCTTGCCGGAATGAGGGTGATCAACATATCCTCGCAGAACAATGCTTTCAGAACCCGTGAAACCAGCGGAGATGCCATGTGAGGCTATGCAAGGGCAGTTTCGGCCTCGCTATGCTGGAGCAAAGGTTCGGCCTCGCCGGGCTAAGGGAATGGATGGTTCGGCCTCGCCACGGCTGAGGGAACAACAGAAGGGTTGCGAAAACGCCTCGCTGATGAAGAACGGTGCATGAAGTTCCGGCCTCGCTTCAGCTGAGGGAAGAATGATGACAAGCAGTTCCTGGAAAAGATGCCGCATGGGCACAAGAGGGACTGATAATTGCGAGCATGACATGGAATGGGCAGACCGGGCACTGGAATGAATGGTCTGCCGGAATTGAGTCCTGGAGACTCTGGAAGCACTGCATGCAGCTTGGACGGCTGATGCTACTGGGTGCAAAGCGGTCAAGAGCTTGAAGCATAGACTCCGCGGTGCCGGTGTGTCGGAGCAATTGATAGAAGACAACCGCAGCCCAGCAGTGCTCAATCACACATAGCAATCATTCGGCCTCGACTTAGGTCTGAGGGAATGTGAGATATGGAAAGAGCAAACTCCAGAATATGGATAAAGGAAACTGGCCAGGCATGGAGGCCAGCAAAGAGCAGGTACCAGCATTGCACTGGAGAAGCCTCGAGTCCCAATGGCAGTGAGGAATACGTCGACTGGTGAGTAAGTGCGAGAAAGCCAGGGCGATTCTGGGGAGAACAGCAAGGCACGGTTAGTAAGTGCGAGAACACCGGAGCTGCTGAGAACCCTGGATTAGCCGGGACGTACTCCGTGAAGGATTCGTTGTCACTGCTTTCAGAAATGCCCACAAGGACCAAGCATGCAGCTAGCCCGTGGGCCTCACTTCGGTTGAGGGTAATCGACTCCCAAGTGAGAGTATGGAGTTTTGGTGGCAAACAAGAGAGCCAGCCGACTGTCTTTGGAACAATGGCTACGGCTGGATTGGAGAATGTCAAGTCTCACAATGGATAGCGGCCTCGTACATAATATCCTCACAGGCAGGGTTTGACCTGGTAGTCGGCACCTTGCCCGGCCCCCTGTCAGGCGCCTGTACCGGCCACCTGTTGAAGGTGTGTGGCGTGGGGTCACCGGTGCGTAGCGGCGATTTCGGTCGCTTAGCGTCCTCCAGCCTAAAAAGGGGTATGTTTGGGCAGGTACTTCACCTGTTCCTCCTGCTTTGCTCGTGTTGGAGATGTGTGAATCGAGGGCATGGATCCGTCAAGGTGAGATGACGAGAAAGTGCAGAATTGGGCCTCAATCAATATGGAACGGTCTATGGGGATTGACCACCCCGATGGTAGAGGGATAGCGGCCTCTGAGAATCGGAGGGCATGGATCACCTCCCGGCAAAAGCCACAGGAAGTATGCCCTGTGCATCAAGAGGCAGCCACCGTAACCAGAGTCCATGAAGCCTTGGGCCATGACCTGGTTTGAAGACATGTCCGGCCTCACTACGGTTGAGGGGTGTGGATGGAAGCTCAGGACATGCAATGAGACTCGTAGAACGAGCATCTGGGTCTACAGGAATGACCTCCATTCGGTTGAGGGATAGCGGCCTCCACGAACGAGGGCATGGATCACCTCCCGAATAGACAACACAGAGAATGTGCAAGCATACAGGCAATTTGCCTTGGCCAAAGTCTTCAAGCCAATGGCAACGACTTGGTCAAAACGACATTCCGGCCTCACTTCGGTTGAGGGTAGCGGTACGTCAAAACCGAGGACAAGGAATGAGAGGGGGAACTTACCGCAGTTTCACCCCACAGTTTTAGTAAGCTTTTGTTTCACTTGAACCCACAGCCCCTTCGGGTGGCTACGCCTCGCAGCGTGCAGACGAAAGTTCCTGTCTGGCTCAAGGTTTCGGCTCAACCCCGGTGGGGTGCTCAGGTAGAGAGCGTCTTTAGTGCCGTTGTGGCTGGCCCTGGGGCTTGTAACTAAGGGTAGGTTCCGTTTTGAGGCCTGGCAAAACTGTGTTTGCTCGTAGGCCGGCTGACCGGCTAAGCTGTCATAGAGCGGCGGCCCGCCAACTGCTGCCGTCGACAAGGGACGTTCGAGTGCACAGTCTTCGGCCTCGCTTCGCTAGAGGGAAGCTTTTCGTCCTCGCGTTGCTGAGGGAACCTTGTGGCCTACAGTCTGCTCTGGGTCACAGTGAGAGTTGCAGCCTCGATTTGCTTGAGGGGTGACGCTAGAGCCTGTTGCTCACCAGAGATTCCTGCTGTCTCTGGGTGAACAAAACCCGCCGACCCTCATTTGGATTGAGGGCTGTGTGTTAGGGTGAGTTTGGGTTCCTCGCTCGTTTGTGTGGAAATCGAAGGTGAGACCGAAACACGGGGGAAAACGGCCAAGGCACGTTGCAGACAGTGCAGGCCAACGTCGCACTGCAAGCGGCATCCTTGCAGTTGTGACAGGAGTGTCCCGAACAATAGCGGTGTGCTTGAGCCCGAGTTTGCTGGTTTTCGGGGATCTGCAAGCTGAGCACAACAGGATATTCTTCGCAGGTAGAATCAGGTAGAACAGATCGGCCCAACCCTGGTGGATCTGCCTGGACACACATAACAGAGGCATCAGTGTCGTAAAGCTCATTGACTGGTGCTACTGAGAAACCGTTGCCAAAGAACTTGCAGTAGGCCTGTGGTGCGGCACAGTGCAAGTTAAGAGCAGCTGTTGGTGGCTGCTTCCCGGCAGACAAATAGTCCAAGATAGCCTTCTTCGGCCTCGCTCCGTGCTGAAGGTTTGTAAAGGCTGGTATTGGCCGGAAAGAACTCAGATGGAGGTTACCCGAACTTCGCGCTTTTCCCATCTGAAGGCAACCAATGGTTATCAGCCTGCTGGACTTGGCAGGCCTACTTTTGTTTACATCCACGTCTCCTGCAAGGGCTGGGGTCTGTCCGTGCACACAGACAAGGCGGAACCTTGCAGATGCTTAGGTCCTCGCGGCACGGCCGCTGGAGGTTGTTTGAAGATGTTGGCTCTCACTGTCGGTGAGTGGTTTGTATGGGCACTTGCTGGGGCAAGGCTCTGGCGTCTGAGGATGGTACATGTACTGGCTGCTGAGTACGGGCCACCGAAAGAGACCTGTGGTAAGACAAGCGATGAAAGGAGCCGAGGACAGGCTAGCTCACGCGGACGCCACGCAGAGTATGTGTCACTATCTTCAGATGTTGGAGCCAAATTGCCTCGCCGTTGTGACGTGTGATGTGGTGTTTGGTTTCGGCCTCAAGCACTGGAAGGCCTACAACAACAAATCCGAATGAAAACTGTGGTCCTAAGACACGCGGAGCAGCTGCTTATACGTGGCACCGCGGGGGTCACATAGAGATAGAGGGCTTGGCAAGGGAACTCTGTCTAGAGATAGCCCTGGCTCAGTGAGGAGCTGAGGGCCTGGCTGCGCAGATGCAGCGGAATGGTTGTTCGGCCTCGCCTCCGCTGAGGGAACAACAGTCAATGCTTCTCTGCAGTGTCGGTCCGGGTTAGTAAGAGCGAGAACGCCGGGACCTCGAGCTGCAGTTTTACCATGAAGCAACCGCGTGAGATGCATTATTGGTCAACTGGTGAGTAAGAGCGAGAAAGCCAGGGTGACGCTACTTTAGGGGAGGCTGCAAGGCACGGTTAGTAAGTGCGAGAAAGCCGGAGCTGCGGACGAACCTGGAGTAGCAGTCTTTCATACCTCACGTGTTTCACTTTGCGGCCTCGCATGCGCTGAGGAATATGCCTCGAACAGAACATCCAGTGCTGAGTGGGGATTGCCAAACTTACGGAGGCTGATGCCACAACAAGTGCCTCAACAGCAATGCATGCGGAGGGCAAAGTTCGGCCTCGCGAGTGCTGAGGTTTGCAGCTGAGAGAGGGCCTAGCTGAGAACGCAACACCTCAAGCGAGGTAATTTTTAGTTTAGTTTCACCTTGACCAACGGCCCCTTCGGGTGGCTACGCGACGCAGCGTGCAGACGAAAGTTCCTGTCTAAGGACATGTTAACTTTGTTGTCCTGCATGCTGGCTCAGAGTTGTGTGTGTAGTTGTAGGAACTCCGTAGTTGTGCCTTGGAGGCTCGACGGGAGTGCTGCTTTAAGTGGGAAAGCCTTTTGAAGTGCTTGAGTTGTAGGGATGTGTGTCTGGAAGCTGTAGAAGTGACTGTGCACGTTTTTGCTTGCTTTAGGTGTAGTTGGGTAGGTCCCGAGAACTCCCACTGACGTTTGAGTTTGTTTTGTGGCTGTGGAGAACACGTGGCAGAGCAGAGTTTTCACCTGTGTGTAAAGAGTTTCACTGACGAAGCCTCCGGCTTATGACTTTGGCTCAAGTCGTGAGAAAAAGAGGGTTCAGCGCGCTGCTGCTGTGTTTTCACACCCTTGGCTTTGCAACCTTTGGCGGGACCTTCAACGTCCGGCAGCGACAAACTTCAGCATCTCTTCCAGTGAATGGCAGACGCTCAAGGATCACCTGGATGAGAAATTGCGGTTCTGCTCCACCCCGCCTGGGACAGCCATTCCATGCGGTGCTACCTTGATCTCTGCGCGACACGTCCCACTTCGCAGCAAGGCAGATCTGTGCAAGGTCCCTTTGACAACTCGTCGCGTCTACACCCGCAACACCGGAAGCGGCATGTGTCCGAGGCGAGCCGCCGCTTCTTGCTCTTCTGGGAGGACTGGTGTCTCCAGTCTCCATCACTCACATGCTTGCAACCTTCTTGCAGGGCGATCTCCGCAACACTTGCAGCCGATGCGTTTGCTTCCAGCCAGTGCATTGGGATTGGGGGCTTTCTTCGTGTCCAGGGCTCCTCGGCAGTTTGGTTCAGTGAACGTTTTGATCTCTCCGATATGCAATGCTTGGGGGTGCCTCTCGCCCCGGACGCTCAGAAGAACATTGGTTGCTGGGAACTGCTCGCCCAGATGGCCTTGCTAATTCTCTTTGCGGAGGTCTGTCCGGGTGGCCGTGCTGGCTTGTCGCTCCGCACTTTCTGCGATAACAGCGCGGCTGAGTCAGCAGGCAATCGCATGCTGACAGCTTCCAGCCCCCTTTGCTTTTTCGCGCAGCAACTGGCGTGTCTTTCATTCAAGCTCGGCCTCACCTTGGACATCCAGCACATCTCCGGCTTTCGAAACACAGAAGCAGACTTCTTGAGTAGATGGAAGCCGCCGGAGGAGTTGCAGCACGGGTTTGAGCTCTTGTACAGGTATCGATTTCCTGTGGCTCGCATTTGGCAGTCGCATCATGATGTGCGTCTTTTTCCCGCAGATACAAAGCTGCTGTGGCAGCCCCCATGA